AGAATTCAGATATATATATATTTCAAATTATACTGAGTTTGATAGTTTAATTTTGAGGCTTACGCCTTAATTCAAGAAAAGAAAATGGTTCAATAATCAATCCCCCAATTTTAAACCTTGCTAGTAAATAAAATGCAGATAGATAATATCCAATACTCATCAAGACATCCATCATCTATTTTTGTTCCTTTTCCGACCTTAAGAAGGTAAAAAGTTGAACCCAATGCAGTTTTTACTACCTAGTGTAAAGGGCCCTTTTACCCTTCTACTAGCGTAGCAAACCAAGATCCACCTCAAAAATTGTCCTTGACATTGTAAACTTGGTCTAGGTGTTCTTGAGTTGTCAGAATTAGTAAGTATTTCTTGTTTTAATATTGTTCTGCATATAATTCTGTTGGGAATGGTTTGACATTTGCGAACCTTGCCTTTGGAAATAATGTATGATTAAAATGAAACATTAAAACTTATTGATCTGCCAATGCGCTGATTGAAAGAATGGGCAATAATTACAGTGATTGATCTAATGCCTGTTTATATTATTTTACCTTTTGGTATGGTAAAATGCTGGTAAAGAATGTTGAGATAAACTGCTGGTTTTGATGAAACCTTGTTTATAAGTTGGAAATATAAATTTTTTTTAGGAGTACTGCTTGACAACCACGACAAATCTTGGCAATTCTTCAAAATCAGCGTTTGATTTTTTCAGCAGTGTGGATGGGAATCTAACATTGACTGCAGTAAGTCGAAAGATTTTGGTAAAACAGAACTTGTGCTAGATATGGTCCAATGAATATGAAAGACTGATTCATGAAGTTATAAGTTTTTGGCTATTGACGATAAATGAATAAATTTGTTTGAGGTTCTGACTGGGAAGGAAAACGAAATTTAGGGGAATCCTCTGAAATAGAAGATTATGAGTATTTGAATTGGCTAATATCGATCTTATGGTTTGGAATATGTGGAACCAGAAGGAAGATAGATGATTCAGACAAGATTGGATGTGGAGTCTGAAGTCAGTTGGTAGAAACTGTTGCGGAAATTCTTTTTACACGTTTAATGAATTTAATGCATCTAAAATGATGCATGCTGTAATCTTGTTGCCCTAATCTAGTTTTCCAAATCTTTTGGCTGTCATTCATGTATGAAAGACAAATAAATACCAATTTATTTTTGCATCTCAATTAGATCCATAAAAATTTTATATGAAGAAAGATTGCAGAATATTGCTTACCATGAAGGCTCGCTATAAAAATGAGGTAAATGAATTATGCTGTGAAGGTGCTGACAAAATATAAGAGGGGAACCTGATTCCAATTGCTAGAGCAAGGTGGCTACCCCTTGTTTCCGTGACTCAACAACACTAATAAGTTAGATGCAGATTTATGGTGAGGATGATGTTTTGCAATTGAAAAGATGGATGATAGTCTAAGTTTGAAATTAGAGCTTTTGTTTTGGGTTGCGGGTGGGGGGTTTTTTTTTTAATTGGATGAAGCCTTTAATTGATTCACTATTTTAACGAAATCTTAATGTGGTTAGAAAAAGATTGCTTTTCAAACCCCTTTTATTTAAAAGCCATAGTTATTGGTTCTTGAAAGACAAGTTTGCGCGTTTTGAAGTAACTAGTCCTGTTTCAGATTGGTGAGTTATTTTAAAACGAAGATATTGGAAAATATTTTAATTTATGCACTTTGCTACCTTATTTGTTGTGCTTGTAATGTTTAGGGGTGCGTTTAGGGCGGCGGTGTGTCGCCGCACCGCAGTTTTTTCTGTTTGTCAAACCTGCGTTTTCAAAAGCTGCAGCTGAAAGCTGTGTTTTCCCACCACGGATGGCTACCCGCGGTGGTTGCTAGAAAGCTGCGGTTTGACTTTTTCAAAAAGATTTTTTTTTGTGTAAAAGCCACCGGCCTCATTAATGTGACAGCATATATTCTGTTCGTGTAGAGATGCTGCAACCTTTTTTTTCTGCTTTTATTATTGAATTTTAGAATCTGGATTGTGAAAGCACAGCAATCTATGAAATTTTATTGGAATTTGGATGGACTGTTGGACTGTGTCCAGTTTAAATCTGAATTCAACTGCTGCTGGCTATTTAATTCCGGGTTGCTACCTCATTGCCTGACTTTATTTGGCTGTTTCATCTGTATTTTCCGATTCTCTAATTCTATCTCTATTTTTCATTGTGGACCGAGGAAAAATTATGTATGTTAAATTGAAGCAATTTCTTTTTTTAGTGATTTTTTTTTATGGCATGAAATTTTGCTGAACTTGTGTGGTAAATTATTGTGCAGCTGGTCCTTGAAGTCCTAAAGTTGTTATATCATATTATGCCATCCGCAGCACGGGATGATGAAAATATTCAGCCATTTCTGGCCAAGGAAAAGATTCTTGAGGAACAACCTATGTACTTGTATCAGCTCTCGACCGATATTCTTCCTGTCTTAATTGAGGTGCATGTTTGGATTCTATTTATGATGTTTCCATCATTTCCTTTGCTGAATTTAAATCAATTTTTCTCAGGTCGTTAAGTCTGGTGCAAATTTAAGCGTGTGTTATGGCTGTCTTTCTGTGATGATCAATATCATTTATTTTGGCACAGTTGATATGCTTCAAGACCTTGTAAAGAACTCAAACATTTCAAGGTATGATATGAGTTGAGTTGTTGTATGAAGGTTTAGATGTTTTTGTTGATAAGCGTATCAGTTAGAGCATCTATCTGTTGAACCGAAAAGGTTTATGAAATTGAATTGAGCCCTTTTGGTCCAGTCCCTACTCACACCATTTTACTCAACGTACAAAGTCATTTGCCCAACAGAGGCTGCACTATTTTTTAAAATATCTCCTTGACTTCCATAGTCTATCATTGAAGAAATTTACCTATTATTAATGAAAAACACTTGGGCTCATTATACGAATGGTTGTTTCTCATTTGCTACTTTTAATGATGTGATGGTTGCTTGAGATGCATTTTATATTAATTTTTCAATTTAGTTATTGGAAAATTGAGGCTAGTCATCTGTTGTTGAAATAAATGAGTAGTGGATAAATGATGATTAGTCGGGAATCAGGATTTCACTGATTTGACGGACTCTTCAATACTAGATGTCTGAGAAGAGAACTTGATCTGAGTAAGGCACTTCGTTAATTGAATCTGATGGCTGAGTATTTGAAGTTTGAGGGGATAAATGTTATCCTTTTGAAAGCATGATATTGTATAGTCTCCCTCGTAAATATGAAAAGTCTTTCTCATGCATTGTTTTTGACCATGGGGTGATCATAACCAGCATCTAGATAATGAATTTGATTTATGACGTTGATTCTATTTGGAATGATTTTCTAGTATTTCTTATAGTTTAGAAAGCGTCTTTTGATGAAATAACGGAATGGTGGATAAATAATAATGTAGAAAATTGGAAGTCAAGTATAATTGTTTTTTTTTTCACTATTTCAGTTACCTGTGGCAAAATAAAAAATTTCTCTCAAGCTATCCTGGCCATCCACTAATGAAAGCTTTCAAAACGATGGTTGGCAAGCGATGACATCGAAATCTTGAAAGTTTTGATATCTTTCTTTGTTTAATGATATATTTTGAGGATAACCAGTGTTTGGTTGAATTTTTAGATTTCTTTTTTCAGATTCTAAACTATCAAAGCTATTGAAAATTGAATTTGATACAAAAAACACTATTTTTTCTGTATATTTATGCATATCTACATGTATGCTGTGTTTAGGTCCATGTGCATAGGTGTATGTATGTATGCATACATGTTTGTGTGTACGTATGTGCACGCACACATGCAATGGATATATGGATAGATTATTTGTGTATGTATTTGTCTATATGCATTTGTTTATTTTTCTTTCTTCCTTTATGAATTTGCATGCAAGCTTGTGTATTTTTGTCTATGGCTATGGCTACATGTGGTTTTGTTTGTGTATGCATGCCTGCATGTTGAAAGGATTTTATTAACTTGTATTAATCTAACTACAAGATTGCTTGATTTTGATTGCATCAAATTCTTAGAAGGAATGAATGTTTTAGATTTTAGATAGATATCCCGGGTCTATTGTTCAAAGTGATGATGATATAGATGAGGATGTTATTAGTAGAATTCAAGTTAGTTGGTTGAAGTGGAGAAATGCATCGGGCATATTGTGTGATAAAGAAGTACCACTTAGACTGAAAGGAAATTTATAAAAAGGTGGTGAGACCTACGATACTCTATGGTGCAAAATGATGGCATTTAAAAGAGAGGCATAAAACAAAGTTTAGTGTTGTGGAGATGAGAACGCTTAGGTGGGCGAGTGGCTTGACACTTAGAAACAAAATGCAAAATGAATATATCTGTAATAGGGTTGTTGTGGCTCTAGTGGCGGGCAGGATTAGAGAGAGTTGTCTTAGATGGTTTGGTCGTGTTGAACGTTGACCATCTGATGATCCTATTAGGAGAGCAAATTTATATTCGACTTATGTTAAGAAAGGTAGAAGTAGACCTAAAAAGACTTGGGCATATTGTGACTTGGGCATATTGGGCATATTGTGTAAAAATGATCTTAATTTATTAGAATTAAATGAAAATATGACACTCAATAGGACACAATGGAGAAAAAGGATTCATGTAGCCGACATTTAGTGGGATAAAGGCTTGTTGTTGTAATGAACCAACCACTTGTCATAGGGTTCTATTAGTCTTTAGCCACTGCAGGTGAAAGTGAAATGTGAACAACACAAATGATTTTTTACCTTAAAAATAATTTTATTTATTTATTATATATAATGATATAATGCTTTGTTACTTCTGTTTTAAGTTGAGCACTATGTGAGAACTCCTTCAATTCTACTTGTGAAGGTTCCAGCACTTACTCCAGTCTTCTTCTGTTGTGTGCGAAATCATTTGCCATAAACCCTTGGTGGCTAAGGCATTTGGCAGGTCGCTTTTGGCATCCAATGACTTTGATAAATTAAGGTGCTGAAATTTCATTAAAAGTGAAATATAGATAACAAGAGCGATGGTTGGAAACTTAGGTGTTGTTGTAGATAATTTTTATTTTGTTTTTTTCTTTTCTTAATTTTAATTTTGTTTTGTTTATGTTTTGATTTAAAATAAAACATGTTTGGTATGGTATAACGTTTTCAATTATTTTTAAAAACAGTCAATATAACTTTTAAATGTTTTGAGTGTTTTGAAAACAAACCAATTTGTTTAAAAATAAAACAAAAAGCAAAAAATGCATTAAACAAATATCTTTATAATAAAAAAAAACGAAAAAAAAAAACAAAAGTGATTCCATACAGGGCCTTACTATTTGGCTTTATTTTTCATTTTATGCCATCGGCACAAGTAGCCTTATTCTAACTATTTATTGTCAGCATTTTTCATTTTATATTGGATCATTGCCCTCAAAATAAATTAGTCAGGCCCCAACAATGATTCCTGCAGCATTCCCAACTATGTCAAACCAGTTGCTAGAAACCCTGACTAAGCACTTTATTCTCGTTATCTCCTTTTATTATCAACAAAGTTTTCAAAGCAGCTTTGTGCATATTCTATCTAGTCCATGTGCCTGGTAGGTTCTTGCAGAATGTCTTTATAGGCAGCAAAAAAATGCCATTGCTTGAGATTTTTAAGGCTTAGCTAGAAATTAAGAATTCAGATTCTTGTTCAAGGATTTTATTTGATTTCTTTTTTGACTTGACAGTTTTTTAGCCAGCTTGATGGCACGAAAGGATCGTCATGTGTTGGTTTCTGCTCTCAAGATTGTCGAGCTTCTCATGCAAAAGTTTTCAAGTGTGTGTTCAAGCTCTTTTATTAAGGAGGGTGTTGTTTATGCTATTGAAGTATTTTTGGAGCACGAAACCCAATTAGTGTCTTTAGGTCAACAATCGGATCAGCAAGATAATCAGATGTCTCTAAGAGATGTTCCAAGGTGCTTGTGCTATATATTTGATCCACCAAATACATCTACATCAGAAAGAAAGACCTGCAGAGTTGGAAAAGATGCTGTTCTCTCTTTAGCAAAGCACATTAAAGCTGCCTATTTCACAGGTGAATCTGTGAACTGTGAAATAGGTGTAAGTGAGGTTTTGAAAAAACTTAAGATCATGTGTTCGACGCTCAATGAAAATGTAGATCAATCTTTATCCAATGATGGTTGTGCTAAAATTGAAGAATTGTCTCAATTGTTAGGTCAAGTTATGGCAGACATTAATTTTGGTGAGGCCATCTCTAGTTTTGAGTTTGTTGAGAGTGGGGCCGTAAGATCCCTGCTTCATTACTTGTCTAATGGTCGATATCTCAACAAATCTTTTTCTCATTGCATGCGGCCAAGTCACTGCCTTGCCATTCTGAAGAGGCTTCAAACATTTACTGTCGTTTCTTTGTCTAAAACTGGACATAGCTGGGAGGATATGCTTTTGGCCTTATTAATACGAAAGTTGCAGGATGCATTGACATCTTTTGATAATTTTCCTGTGATTGTGAGCCAGTTTTTTAAATCGAGAAATAGTTATTCTGATATCCCAACAAGGCATTCTACACTGAATCCTTGCTTAAGAGTACGATTTGTGAGAGAAGATGGGGAGTTCAACTTATCTGATTACAGTGATGTTGTTTCCATTGATGTTTCTTCATCATTTGTCACTATTGAAGATTATCTGTGGCCCAAAGTTGGTGCAAGCATGAGTGGACAAATACAAGAACAGAACAGAAAGGATGTAACCACAACTTCTGCTGCTGTTTCTAGTTTTAGATGCTCAGAAATAAATGTTCTCGAAGTATCGTGCTCCGATAATCAGCACATACCATCGGCAAACTTTGTGCAGGTGTTTTAAAGTTTTCAAAAGAAATTGCCTGCATTCTTTAATTTCTCTTTCTAAAATTGAATCTTTGAGAAATTAAGTTTACTCCTATGTTTAGAATTGCTGTATTCTTGTGACTTTAATCAAGTTTAATGCCTTACTACGTAATTGATAAGCAAAACTTTCTAATTTGTCCTTTAACTGGCTTGGCTTTTGAGACTGGGGAATTTCAATTGTCTTTAGCTCGATATCTACAAGCAGTCTTTTCTTTCAATTCAACTAAATATTTTATGTTTCTGCTGTCCTTCAAGATAAATTATTCAAAACATGTTTTCCCTGTTTATTTGATAATATTCATGTTTCAGGTTAACCAAGAGCAACAAACTTCACTGGAGGACACCAGCATGAAACTTAGAGAGATGATGACAGGTAATATGCCTTTGTTTTGACTCAACCGTCCTTTATTTTGCAGTGGCGCTGCTCAGGATTTTTACTTCGAAGAGTCTAAACTATCTTGATTTGCATATCAATTAGTTTCTTTTCTGTGCAGAGAGCATCTCTAATCCTCAATCTTCTTGTGATGGGCATGCCAAAGATTGTGAGATTTTATCCCCAAGCAACGGTGATGCAATACCTAAATTGATATTTTCTATAGAAGGGAGAGAGATAGATCGGTCAATGACTTTCTATCAGGCAATTTTACAATTCCAATTAAATGCAGAACCAGATTTGGTTGTTGGTCCAAAATTCTGGAGTGAAGTTTACCAAGTGTCATACAGAAAAGCTGAACAAATTACTACCCAATCCCACGCATCTTGTTGTGATTCTCAGTCATTTCTTTTCCAGGAAAAAGCTGGATACCCCTGGCACAAGCTTTCATTCATTTCCAGCTTGTTGCTTGCTGAGCTACCTTGTAAGCTGGACAAGGCAAATCCATCTTATGATTTATTGTTCATGATGAAAATCTTGGAGGGCTTGAATCGTTTTTCATCTTTTTTGCTGTCCCATGAAAGGAGCATATCACTTGCTGAAGGGAGAATAGAAAATTTGGGTGATTTGAAGGTTGTTGCCCCCTCAATTCCACAGGCTGAGTTCATTAGCAGTAAATTGACTGATAAGCTTGAACAACAATTGCAAGACCCTCTAACATTAGCTACAGGTTGCATGCCATCTTGGTGTGACCAATTAATGATGGCTTGTCCTTTCTTATTTTCTTTTGAGGTTAGATGGAAGTACTTTCGCCTTAAAACGTTTGGCTGTAAAGTTCAGCTGAATCAAATGCAGCTAGCAAATACTTCTGGTTCTAGTTCTGTCACTGATCGACGGCCAGCTTCTGGCTGGACTTACCGCAAAAAGTTTAAGGTTAAACGAAGCGACATATTTGGATCTGCTGAAAAAATGATGGCTTCTCATGCTCAAAGTAGGGCTGTTATTGAAGTGGAGTATGAAGAAGAAGTTGGCACCGGCTTAGGTCCTACTATGGAGTTTTTTACATTGGTCAGTCATGAATTTCAGAAAGATGGCATGGGCATGTGGAGAGGGGAAAGGCATTCTTTAAGTGATTTACAAACAAACCAATGTTCTGAAGAATCAGCATTTGTTGTTGCACCATTGGGACTCTTTCCTCGCCCTTGGTCTGCAGGATCTTCTGTCTCAGATGATAGACAGTTTTCTGATGTCTTAAAGAAGTTTTCCGTTCTTGGTCAGCTAGTTGCGAAGGCTATTCGAGAAGGGAGGATTCTGGATATACCATTCTGTAGCACATTTTATAAAGTTATACTTGACCAGGTTTTTTTACCAAAACATATGCATAAGGACATTTATGCTTGCTTTTGTTGCTATTCTAGCCTGATATATATATATTTTTATTTTGTTATGTATAACAGGGTTTTTCTATGCTTAAATGTACTTTCATTTGAATTGTGTAGGCACTCGGAATCTATGATATCCAGTCATTTGATCCTGAGCTTGGAAGGACCTTGCTGGAATTCCAAGCTCTTTCACATAGGAAAAGTTTTTTGAAATCAGCTTCTAGTCAAAATTTTGGGCATGCATCTGATTTAAGCTTCCGGAATACAGCAATTGAGGATCTGTATCTTGATTTTACTCTTCCTGGATATTCAGACTATCTTCTTTCTTCTGCAACGAACTCCAAAATGGTGAAAGCACATCTTTGTATTAGTTTTTTTAATGAACTCTTTCTTTCACTAATATTTTTTTCTTCAGGTAAATATTGACAACTTGGAGGAGTACGTTTCACTGGTGGTTGATGCATCTATAAAAGATGGTATTTCCAGGCAAGTGCAGGCATTCCAATCAGGTTTTAATGAGGTATGTCTAATGAGGGTCTACATTTTATGCGGTGCTCCTGGGTCAGAATGTGCTTTGTTCTACTTTTAGCAGGGTAATGATATAATTTTAGGATATTATTGTTGTGCTGCTGCGATATTTATGCGTGCTTTAGTTACAACAATGCTTTCTTAGGTTGTTTGTGGAGAAGAATATTTTGGTGTTTTATCCACTGAAAATCCTATTTATAACCAGGGAATGAATGTGATGTGAAGAGGTACAATGAAATAATCATCTTCCACTAGCCAAAAATATTACTTTCCTAAGTTAATATTCTAACACTAAAACTCCCATCATGATGGTGCATATATGTCAATAAATTTTAGTTTTTTAGATAGTTTGAAATTTTGAAGCGGACTCAGGACCTTGCTAAGTGTACCCTCTAATTAATTTGAGTTGGAAAAAATGAGTAATGGTCTTTCTTTGTAGTCATCATGAATAAATGGTAGTTAACTTCAATATTTCCATTTCTTTCATAAAACACATGATTATTAAAAATGCAGATGATAACATGATTTTCACAGTTTAAACTTATAGGTTATGCAATCGGAAAATTAAATTCTTTAAGATTGTTTTAACCTACACAGCTTCACATGTCACAATCTGACCTGGTGCAAACCACCATATCAAGACTGGCCGCACGTATCTAAGTCGCAACAACAGATTAATTTATAAGATCTATTTAGAAGGAAATTTATTTTTGTTTATTTTTAATATACACAGGAGCACTAATTTCATCAAAATATTATAAGATAGAAGTAGTCAGTGTTTATTTAAATAATATAAAAAATTATACAAAAAAATTAATTATATGCAATAATCATGGTAAAATCTCTCAATCAATAAATTTTATATATCACCATTACTGTTAACTAAATAGATTCAAGATAATGCTATACTTAAGCCTAACCCTTAATAGTAACACATTGCATCTACTTAATCAGAGTTATACTCTTTCTTTACGCATATCGATAAAATAAGGGTGAATAATTATAGCTTAGCAGGCTACTCAAAATTTACTATAATATTTAATATACAAAAAAAAAAAATTTTTTTTTTTAAATAAACTAAAAAAATATCTCTACATATCACATGCCATGTCTGCCTAATAAAATGTTAGTAAAAGAATTAGTGTCAACAGTAGGTAATGTAAGTAACAATTTGAATATGATGTCAGAAATAAAATTATACTATGAAATAATGATTTTTTATGAAGCATATCTTATAAATTTTTCTTCAACTCTCATACCTCCATTTTCACTTATATCCTTAATTCCTTATATTTTTTATTCGTCCCTATTATATTCACTTTTACTTATACTTAAATTTGTTCACATATGTTCATGCATATCAAACTTACATATAGGTAATTATATAAATGCATAGACCCTTAAAACTCCACTTGAATGCACATAAAATATAACAATGTGACCATCTGCTCTTTCTCACTTTCCCCATATATATATATATTTTTGATATAAAAGCATATAAAATTAGCAATTTCAACATATATAAGTATCATCAAACATGCTGCAGAAACCTGTAAAGTTTAGTATGAACAATTAACAATAAATATACTCTTTAAATTAATATACACAAAATAAGACAATTCAAAAAATTAATTTTCTTTAATGTCCAAAATAATATTTCAAATTTTTTATTGTTCTATAACATATTTTATTGGATCCCAAAATCAAATTATTGTATGTTTATCACATCACATATCTGAATACTAGTTTGTTTGTTATTTTTTCTCATATAATCAAGTTGCATTTCACAAATATTAGAGCAAATTGGCTAGAAAAGGAAACTAATAGAACTCCATTGGAGAGGGAAAACTACACTAGATGATGTTTACTTAGCTCATGGACATTACATTAAAATTTGGATAGATATGAGTATATAGTAGCATACCACTAGAGGCTTTGTGGTGGAGGCTGCCCTTAGAGATAATGTAACTAATACAAACTAATGGTGAAAGAAAAGGCACTAGAGACTTTATTCTTCAATTAATAAACCCTACTAGCCTAACACCTCCATCAATCATCTTATTTGTATTGAGATATTAAAAAACACATTTATATGGATACAAAGAACTCGTTAGTTTTTGTTAGAAAATGAAATTTGGGAACGTATAAGATTTTTTGGAGAGGTAAACCCTAGGAGAGAGATAAAGTCTTTTCTAGACACATGAGTGATAAAACAATCAATAGAAATTACAATAGGCAGAGAAGACATGTCAAGGAATGAGAAAAAAACTGTTGATTGCTTGTTATATATGTATTAAAATCTAAAATCTTCAGCGATACTAACAGTGATTCTTGGAAATTGTGGATCAAAGAAAATTACACATTGCATTGGTTTTTTTTTAAAATTTAATAGTGGAGGGTTCAAAGTTGTCGGCATCTATAAGTGGTTATCATGATCAAAAGTTTTCATTTGTAGTATTAGTGCTATTTACTCATTTTGGGAGGTGACAATTGAGATAACTAAGTTTATAATGAATTTTGCAAGGAAATTCAAAACCCGCACCATATGAGATAGTTCATACTATTGTTTTTTGAAGTTATACCAATAGTGAATGAAAAATCTCCAAGAGAGTTGCAGAAGAAGCCATTGACAAACACCACTAGCAAGCAAAGGGGAGTAAATCGAGGTTGTAGATGGGCGGAATTAAATGCAGGTGTTTGATTGGCTGCAAATGTGTGCTAGCATTGGATCAAAAGGTGTGTGAGTGGGGTGGGATGCACTGGCATTTAAGCAGCCAGCGACAATCTACTTGAGCACAAATAAGTGTGGATGGGGTTGTGTGATCAAGAGCATGGGTGGGCAAAGAAGGACACAAGCATGTTTAAGTATAGGAGATCAATTCTGCTATATGTCGATCAAAAGCTGGAGAGAGGAGGATGTTATGGTTAGGATTAAGCTCACTTTGAATCATGTTATAGGAGAATATTTTGGTGTCCTTTTCACTATTTAGTCCTCCATTTATAGTAGGGGAAGGCATACAATGTCTATAGATGCAATAGAATAATCTTGTAGTCCGCAGGCAGAAATAGTAGTTTTCTAAGCTAAAATTGGAATGCTAACAAAAGTTATCCTGCTTTTTTTTTTTTTTTTTTTTGTCTCAAGTTTTAGTTCATGTAGGTTTTCCTCCGTGGTCATTCAATTCAAGTTCTCAGGTGGCACAAGACCAAGTCATATCTGCATAGCTGTGTCCTTTATCTTTCTTATTTCATTGAAACAAGTTTTATCCTTGCACACACTAAGCTAGGTTGTGTGACTAGGTTAAATTTATAAAGTGTGGCCACTTGCATCTTATGTACTGGTTTGGAAAGTGCATGCCTAGTTTATATAATATCCATTGAAGTTGCGTTCAATTTAACAGTAGGAAAGGAATATCAAATGAATCAGAAAACTTCTTGTGATTCTTAGGGTGGATTGTTAATGTCACAAAATACAGAATTTTAATAAGGATTGTATTAGTGGAAAAACATGTGAATATATGATGTTCATCTAGAAGAGAACGGGGTGAAAGAGGTGATAGAAGTGAGAAGTGTGAGAAAAAAAGTGCAGAAAACTCGAGCAATTTTATGTTCCTTGATCAGAATTAATTTTTCAGGCAGGTGAAGCCAAAAAAAAAAAACAGTCATTAGACCCTAATAGAAATTTTAAAATTAATATATTTATCTTGAGAATTCAGAATCTCAATTTTGTGCCTCCATTTTCACAACTAGGACCTATCTCCATACATGTAGCATGATGTATTGGCTTTGTTTTTATGAGATGTACGCTTTTCAAGTTGAGGAGAGAAAAAAAACAGAACTGTCTTGTTCTCATTGATAAGTTTGTGAAATTATAAAGAGGATAATGTCATTTGAATGGGTTTATGATGCTTAGTGAGGGTAAAAATTGTTTTTGGTATGATACCTTACGATTATGCTCTAGAATTCTGAGGTATCCTTGTTGAATTTTATCTTAATTTATGAATAGCTGTTCTGTTAATGTCAAAATAAAGAATTTGACGAAAACTGTGTTTTTTGGGATCTTGAAAAAAATAGATAAGACTGGTAACATGTGTGAATGTTTCAAAATTTAGAGCTTGATAGAAAATTTATGAAAAAAGTTGTATCATGACATTCTAATATATTTTCAGGATAGGCCTCAATTGGGCACAATGAGAAACACATGTATTAATATTTAGACATGAAATAAAATATTTTTGTTTTCTCAAGATTATTTTTTTGTTTGATGATGCGGTATTGGTAGAAGTTGCCTGCGGGGTAGAGGCCGTGGAGGCTCGTGGTGGCAGCAATGACCACCAGCAGCAGTAGTGCGGGCTGATCATTAAACGCTATTTTGCGTAGTATTAAAATCATTTTGTTTAGTGTTTTTAAATATAAATTGATTTGTTTTTAAAAACAAATAAAATATTTAAAAATATACTAAACAAACAAGTTTAAAGGCAAAATTAAAAGTGATCCCAAGTAAGCCCTTTAATTATTTCATAGTTATAGTTAGTTCTGCGCTAGGTAGCTGTTCTAGCGATGCCATTTTGCCTTTTTCTGTCTATTTCCCATTGACTGCATTATTCTTGCCCCAGGTATTTCCATTGAAATCTCTTCAAATATTTACCGAACATGAGCTTGAACGGGTCCTTTGTGGCGAGCAAGGGACATGGACTGTAAGTTTTTAATTTACCACAAATTAATTGCTGAGAAATTTCATTTGTAAGATTATTTTCTTCACTGCAAAATTGCAAGCTTAATCCAGGGTTTAATTTCTTCCTAACTTGCAGTTCTCGGAGTTGTTGGACCACGTCAAGTTTGATCATGGTTACACAGCCAGTAGCCCACCTGTCATAAATGTCTGTATATTTTTCTAGTGGTATTTAAAGTTTACAAAATTTTTATCATGTTTTGCTGTAATAATTGAGTTCTCGTTATTTTCATTTTGCAGTTTCTAGAAACAATTCAAGAATTTGATTGCAATGAACGAAGAGCTTTCTTGCAGTTCGTAACAGGCGCTCCTCGGCTTCCTCCCGGGGGTTTGGTGGCATTGAATCCTAAGCTGACAATTGTTCGCAAGGTTTTATTTTTATCTTATTTTTTAGATTTTCAGAGACATTTACTTTATTGACATTCATAACCATGACATTGTAATAACATCCTTAAAACAGGGTTATGGCTGTGAAGTTGACATGGACTTGCCAAGTGTAATGACATGTGCCAACTATTTGAAGCTCCCGCCATACTCTTCAAAGGTGACCCTTTCTAAACCTCCAACAATGACCTTGTTTTCTTGATTATCTTGATTTTAATATGACAAATATTGATATTTATGATTTTTTATGACTCATATTTTTCCGGGCTTGGCGTGCCTTTTTGATACGACAAATATTGACATGGATCTTGTGCTATATGTATGAGCCAATGTTGGTTTGCACGATCACAAGTAGGGCTTTTGAAAAAGCTCATTGTAAACGAACAACTCCTGTTTTGCTCAATAAATAGCTTGTGTTCGAATCGTTCGTTAAGTAAATGAGCCGAACACAAATAAAATTTTCAGGCTAGAATTATAAACGAGTCGAACACGAACAACCCTTTGTTCTCGTTTTATCTCAAAATAAGAAAATTATATATAGTATTTATATAATAATATACTATATATATTTATATATAAGTTTAAATCACCACAACTTGTGTGGTCATGTGGTTCTATGTCGTGTATTTCATAAAAATGGTGCATGTTCGAATTTAACTCCCAACATATATTTTTCTAAGTAATTTAAATCAGCCAATGTCGAGCAGAACACGAGCTGGACACGAACACACTGTTCATGAGAAATTTTGAATAAAATTAATTTCAAATGAGCCGAACACAAGCCATGGCCTGAGCTCGCTAAAGCTTGGTTTGTTTACAACCCTACACAAGGGCACCGAGCATTTTCATTTTGTAGCATAAGCCTTAAATTCTAATTTTTAGTAACTACTTGAATCGAGTTTCAGTGTGCCCTTATCTACGTTGAAATTAATCATTTCAAAATTGGAGTTCATGAACAAATATAAGCCATAAACAAAATATTTTTTTTCCATATTTTACCATTATGACTATGTTTATAAACAAAAGTATGTAGTCACACAACTTTAAGTTATTTTCTTCTAGGTAGATTTACATACATTCCACTAATTCCTATGTATTTACATATTCAACACTTAAACTTCAATTTTTACATACATTCCATTTTACCCATGCATTAAAAAGTGTTATTTCAACTTTTAAAACTTAAAATGGGGGTATTCTTGATGTGATATGAAGGATATATGCGATATTAGTGTAAAATGTAAACTTTATATTTTAGATATGTAAATACATTAGAATTAGGTGGTATGTATGCAAATGTCCCTTATTTCTATTATGCTCATTCATGCGTGCTAGATGCCTGCTTGTCAATAAAAAAAACCATTCTTGAACAAGTTCCGAGTTGCAGGTCATAATTATATCTATATTCAAGCACATAATTGGTTCTTCTTCACTATCAAAATTTCAAATTATTCTCAATAATTTCATTATGAATGCAGGAAAGAATGAGGGAAAGGTTACTATATGCTATAACTGAAGGACAAGGGTGTTTCCATCTCTCCTAGGCTTCTCAGATGATGGTATATATAAATAGATGTGCAAATTGTAGTTATGACAGAAGAAGCTTGCTGGTGTAAATGGTGTAAATCGTGACAGAAAGGTTGGTAGAAATACATGGATTATGCAGCCCAGAATATATATCTCAAGCCCTCGTGTACAGAGGGGACTAACCTCCTTCCTTTTGTGCAGGATAAAAATGTAAATAGTAGTTAGGATACAGGAAGCAAATCCCTGATGATTTCCTAAGGAAATGGTTTGGCATGTATTTATATAAGTATAATTGTTGTTGTTTTGTGACGACTGTGTTTTATAGGTATATATTGATGGAGCATGTGGCATTGGTGAAAGATTGGGTTGTGATACATTGATGATGATTTAATTGGGATGTGTTTTAAATTTTTTGTTAATTTTTTTTAATTTTAGTGCAATATATACGTAATTAATTATAGCTTTGCATTATATTCATATAAAATTTTAAGATTCATTTTAATCAAATTTTGCATGGGATATTCTCATAATTTCCCCTGCCTATGTTGGGGTTATAACATTATTTTTTAGATTGGTTAAAAGTAATATGTTAATCAGTCTGGAAACAAGCTTTAGTTGAAGAACAGTAAGGTTAATTATGCACTTTTAAAAATGTTTTTATCAAAAACTTAATTTTTTTTAAAAGTAGATTAAAAATGTTAATTATGCAATCTTTTAAACAGATCTTCTTGCCTGTATGATAAGGTTTAAGACCTACTTTGGCCAATCTAATCTTCCTTCCTACAGAGATTAGAGTTGACAAGAATGAGCCTCATTGAGCCAATTTGATCCTCTTTGTCATAACAACTGGAGTTAATATGGCTACTGCACTTAATGATGTTTAAGTTACAGTTATCCCATGATGATTGTATTAATCATGAATTTTAATAAAGAGGGTTCATTTATAAAATTATAATTTTAAATTATAAAATTAAAAAATATTCAAGTGAAACTTTTTACTCAAAATTAAAATCAAAATATATCTATCCTCTGCAATTGTTTGTCGGGTGGGCAAACCTAATATTGACTTGAGCTCATAAAGAGCTAAAGTCATATCAAGCATACTATAAATTTTATACTCAAAATATTTCTATGCAGTAATGGCATGTCCCAAGTCTTCTATCCGTGTAGTTTGACTAGTAGACTACACAACATAAATGATTATGACTAAAGCCTTTTGAATGGATGATTTGTTCAGAAAGCACCATCAAGTGGTTTGGTAAGTAGGCTCCACAGTAAAACAATCACAGTTGCAGGCCGTCTGTTCCCCACTGGTAGTATGACATTTTGAATTATAAATCATAAAATATACTTTATAAGGCATGGAACCCTTTATAAGGTGAGGTTTACTTAGATTAGTCCCCACTGTAAAACGGTCAACAAAGCCCCCCTTGACGAAACAACTCATGATTGTTGACAAGGATCCCTATGTCAGGTTAGGTCGACTACCTTCATTGACTAAATAAACCAAGAACAATGACAACTCGAGTTGACATAACAACTCGAGATGACATAACCATTATATCTTGGTTAAGTTCATTGTTGTTTTTCCTACCATCCACTTTAAGTTTGTGGTGAAAATTTTCATAATTTTCAAATTTAAATTAATTGCTACTATATGCTAAGTCTGGATACTTAGCGCTTAATTACTAGCCATAACTGAAAGTGCTCTCTCGTTATTGACAGAGGTAATTAACCATAGAGGCTTGCATAGATGGGAAACCTTAACTCTAGATTTTAAAGTCCACGCAAAATGAGGGAGAAATCTTTGGGTGGTGACTTTTCTACTATCTTATCCACCTTCTGAAAATTTAACCCTAAACTTAATATATTAAGCTCTTGATAAGAGTCCAGGGTATTTTAAATTTTTGGATTTCACAACGAGTTGATGGATAGATAAGCTTTATAGTTCAATTCATTTATTTTTAAACAATGATATCACTTTTAGCATTCTTAGTGGGACCACTACAACAGGTGTCTTGAATGTGCTCTCTAATATATATAAGAAACCTGACATTGCCAACAAAATACATATGTATTATAAATTTTTTAGTACAAAGATATTAGAAGCTTCAGTTAACATCAAATCAATGAGTTCAAATTAATTAGAAGATAGTTGAATTTAATGCATATCAAGTTCATGGACAAGATCCATACCACAAGCTTTCTCTAATTAATAACTAAGTATAAGGATGTCATTTTGACGAACAATGATCCACCCAACGCTTATAACAATTATATAATTCTTGGAAATAGCACAAGAAATCTTTATACTCTAACTAGCAACTTAGTTGAATTCTTAAAATGAAATGTTCTTGCACGCTAGTGTTTCTCACGCAAGTATACTTATCGTTTCAGAGCCCGAGATGTTGAACCCACAGGGAACAAAGGGAATCAAAGGTAGTACAATGTTCTAGTCTACTAAATTCATTCTTAGTTTGGAATATTCAAATACTTTGGTTTATGCTAACAAACCTACTGCAATTATCTAAAATTATACCTAAATAATTTCTAATTACGCTATGTGAATTGGTCTTGCTAAGTGCTAAGAGTACTATTTTTTACAGTAATAAAAGTATAGTGGGGATGTGGAAGAAATGCGAAATAAAGTAGAGTTTATGACAAATAGGAGCATATATCTTATTTACCCTCTTCCAAACGGGTAAAGAAGTTTGGTTTAACTTAGTAATTGTTCTAGACTGTCACCCTAGAAACCTCAACGTTATCCCTATTAAAACTTATCTCCGTAACATTTGCATCTCCTTATAGTATACTTTGATCATACTCTATAATTCAACATGATTTTCCTAGTCATTTATGTCGTAACTCATTCGAATCTTTACGGGTTCACAACATATTTTAACAGATCAATTTGACCAGATTGAAAAGTAAACTAAGTGCAAAAGGAAAATCATCACAGATAAAGAATAAAAAACTATTTCAACATGTTATCCACATTCCTACACATCTACTACATCACCACAAGAAAAAACAAGGAGAATTACTCATAAAGCATGAATAAAACAACACCAAATTTTATTGAAATAGAGAAATCCAACATACAAATGAGTTTAAGAAAACTACAATTCCAAACCACAAATATACTTATCTCTCTCCTTTAATTGTCCTTGAGAACGCTCCACCCAACTCCTTGCTCTTCTCTAACAACTCCTTAAGCAATAGCAAGTACAAATCAACACAACACACACCACTAGTCTTGCATAGATCAAGCCAAGATCACTACAAACACAAGAAGGAAAACCTTCTCTAACCCTAAGAAGACACACCTTAATCACAAACCGAACTCTAACTTCACCCTCTACCCCTTTTCTTGAACTTCAAATTCCTCCTTATATTCCTCCCTATTCTCATTTGAAAATTTCTCTAAAAACTTCCCAAACTCCTATGAAGTGGTGGCTCAAACTTAGGCACCGCTCCATCCTAGCGCCATGGCCTTGGCCTTCAGGATTGGTGCTATGGCGCCAGTGTTTGGCACCTAAGTGCCAACCTCTCAGGTTGCTCTTAGGTGTCGGTCGCTTAAGCGCCACTCTGATCTGAGGCCATGGCTTGCATTCAGTTGACTGGCACCTAGGAGCCCAGCTCTTGGCGTCATGGCCTTTGCCCTCATAAGATTTTCTTTTTCTCCAAATCTTCTCCTTTTCACTTGATGTTTCTTCCACTTTTTTCTGCTCCTAATACCCATTATACCTGCAAGAAAAACATAAAAATATATTTCTTTAAAGTGCAATTTCATTCAAAAAGATATGCAAAATATAAAAAAATTCATGCAATCTTTTCACACATCAAACATCAGTAGTTTTTATAGATCACCCATGATAAATATCAAATATTTTAGTGGTCTCATATTTAAAAGATTGGCCGGAGGCTATGATACGAGCCCCCAGCCACCCTCATGTGCCTAACTATTCAAGGACCACCCTCACTACCAGCAAACTGGCAAGAGAACGAATCTAACTTGCAACCTGAGGGAACTTACAACCTTCAAAGAGGATGCTCTACCAACATGTCACGGCTGACGACACTCATGCACACACACACACATATGTATATTCATTAGACTCAGGACTCTTTATTTTCCCTTAAATAATCTAGTAATAGACTACTATATGAATAGTTGCATGAAAATGTTCGTTAACGATATTGAGCCCTGAAACATTTTAAGCATTGCAGATGTGATAATCAAGATAACAAATAGAAACACTTTGAAATTAAATAAATTTTGGTCACCTATAACTTATGAAGAAGTATGATTTCCATTAGATAACTAGTTATGATGATTTTATGTCATTTAATTTTGATGCTTAGAAATTCATGAAATGTGCCTTGATGATTGTTTGGGAAACAAGATATGCTCTCTCACACCCACCACTAGAACACAAATACTAAGTGACACAACTAATGAAAAAGAAAATTCAAATATCTTGATCTAAGTATAGAAGATATAAGCAACAAGAATTAATAATTCACTACATGAAAGATAATTTTTAAATTTAAAGTTTGTTGAATCCAATTCACACAAAAATTTTATTTTACTAAAATAATGCATAATATTTTCTTTAAAGTCTAAAGATAACTAAAGAGCAACAGTCTAAAGGCTATAGATAACTAAGGACCAAAAGACTGCAGTTGGTGTACATAAATGTGTGGGGCTCATGTCCCTTTGTTTGCATGATATGATAAATTATTTTATGTGCTATGTTATTTTCATATATTAATACTAAGAAAGTATTAGCTTATTTTATAAAACTTAAATTGAACATGCTCTTTAGTTATGTGATTGTAAGGAAAAAAATTAGAGACATGCACAACTTGTAACAATAAAAAATGGTTAGCAATATCACTCCAAAAAAATCTATGACTATTGTGCAATTTATGAAATTTATATGTAGATAATGATTCCAAAAATGACAAAACCAAAATAGATTAATTGAGATGATGTATAAAAATCTTAATGAGCATGTACCAAAGATGTGACACATGTTTATATTGATCAACTTTTCATAACTTATCTTGATCTAAACTTACTAGGTGTTACTTCCGTAGATATGATAAATATGAGTTTTAATATATATATTGAGATAATGAACATAAAAGAATTTTTAAAGAAATTTTTTAATTTTAAATATATTAAAAAAACTTGTCAACCATTGCAACAAAATAATTCCATTGCAAAAAGTGTTAAATTAGAGGAATAATCAATAATTGAATGAGGATAACAAAATTCTCATGAAACTCGGGAGCAATTTGAACCCTTCAAAGAAGAAAAAGAACATGCATGAATTAAAAGTCATAAAGAATGGGATATTATATAGGAGTTCCATAAAAGTTAGGATGGATGTTCCATAGATATATTCTTTATTATAATTAAACTAATAATTCTTTAGCTATTATCATGCATTATAGCAACAAAACATCCATCTCTTGATTACAAGAAAGCTAAGAGTTCTTTCATCAATGATGGCCTAGAGTAATACATTATTATGGTGTAACCTTTAGCTTTCGTTAAACCTAACTGATGATACTAGAGAATTGACGGGTTTATGCATATGATCAAATTATAAAGATACCTCTCATGTCACCTCAATTATGTCAAAGAATAAGAAAATATTGAATTATTCTATCATTATATGTAAATGATATTTTAATTTTAAAAATAAAAAAAATTGAAAGATCAATTATCTAATAATACAACAATTAAGGGAATTCTACATGAAAGTTCTAGGATAAACCAAAAAGTTCTTGGGAGAAGAACCTAATATAACAAGGCCAAATAAACATTAATTCTTTCATAAATATAATATGTGTTAAACATATTCAATATGTTAAAGACGAGTGGTCTTCAAGTCTCATATATAGCATAAATTGTGAGATCAATTTACAAATACGTATCTAATCTTTAAGAAAAAGAAACAAAGAGTAAATACTATAATATTTGCAAGCATAGTTAATCATTCTATAATGTTTAAATTAATTGATATAAAAATGCAATACTATATTAATTTAGATATAAAAGAAGGCACACACAAACACACACATAAATAAGTAAAATAATAAATAAATAAACACAGACATACAGACACACACACACACACCAAATGTCGGCCTGTTGGTTCTCAGCTTTGGCGTAAGTTCCTTTGGTCCCGGGTTCGATTTCATCTGACTCGAATTAGCACATATGGGGTGGATAAACACATGTTACCGTTCATCTTTCTTATATATATATATATATATATATATTAAAAGAAATGTATATATATATATAAGAGAGAGAGAGAAAGAGAGGGAGAGAGAATTACTACAATATAAATCTAAACCTTGAGCGACATTGCTATTAACTGAATGTCATAAATTTTAAATAGTAATTGCTCAGCCAACTACATAACTAAATATATAACTTTTTTTTTAAGCTTATAAGGAGATGGCTAGGATCAAAAAATTTTCTTGAAGAATTTCATAAGTCATCACAAAACATTATTTTTTTGTGTTAATCAAAGCATCATTCATGTGATGAAATATGCCACTTATATATCTCATGTGTGTGTGTATGGGGTTTATTTTTAATGAATTGTTTTGTCGAACATAAAGATTAAGTACTTATTGATGTGCTCATAAAAGTTATATTTACTAAAAAGTTGAGGATTTGCAAAGCTTTAGTTAGGATCTGCAAAAAATGATATATATTTCTTACACAAAGAGATGTTCATTCATAGACAATTGAGCAAGCACGTTAAAAGAAACCCACCTTCAAGTAAGAAATAAGTAATCATATAAAATCAAAATTTCTTTGTGATAAATTTCTCATAACATATGGTTTAATATTCTCTATAAATAAGTCTTTGATTAATCCATTTTTGATAGAAACTTTATATAGAATTTACTATAAAAATTTAAAGATATCATTTACTAACTTTGAGTGATCCTATAAGGATTTTATTGACTTTAGAATATTTTATTATATCATATGAGAAATGATAATTATGTCTTTGTTATTTACTATTGTAAATAATGCCATAGAAGGAAGCATCCCATAACTATAAGTAAATCGAGAGGAGAGAGAGAGAGAGAGAGAGAGAGAGAGAGAGAGAGAGTGTGTGTGTGTGTGTTTTACAAGTGAGAGCGGGGTATGAACCATGAGAATAAAGTTAGTAATTTTTTATCATTTTTTGTAGGGATTCTTTTTTTTGCCACATTAAGAAGAAAGATGTGATATTTTCTATAGTTTTCATCACAAGGAGAATTATACTACCACAACAAAAAAGAATAAAGTAATATTATTAATAACATCTCCTTTATTTCATATTGAGCACTTATCTTAACACCAAGGGGATGGGTTCCTTCTTAATCTTTGATACAAAGACAGTGATATTCTATTTTTATCTATAGCTATAAATAAATAAAAATTCTTGATGTATCTTATTTTATTCTTCGTGAAACAATTTGACTCTATGTGATTATAGATATTGATGGATCTTGTTGAGCCATATAAACTTGTTTATCAAATGTTTATAATCTTTAACATGTTTTTTCTCTCATTTTCATTTGGTTTTACTTTAAAATTTATTTAATCTTAACATCATCTAGGGTTTTGGATAGCTTTGCATTGGATCTCATAATCTTCATGAGAGCTATTCATGTATGGGAGAATTATATTTCGAAAATTCTTTATTTGAGAGCAAGCATAGTTAGGTTTTGTGACAACTTCTTGATTATCCTTTATTTTATACCAATTATATTACTTATGTGTTTTTAGCAAATTATATATTCTATTATATTCCATTATTGTAATATTATCCAAGTTAAACCACATAAATTTGGTTGCTCTCATCCCCTATCTTTTGCTTGAGTCAACTTTACTAGGAGAGATAACACTAGCATTGAGGATGTTAAAATTTTACTTTTACCTTAAAGATGAAATTTTATAGTTTTGGTGTATTGTGAGGAAAATTAATGAAAAATTATTTGAAACGGGGATAACAATGCATAAATAAAAACCCATCATTAAAAGAAAGTCTATTGGTATAGACACAATTAATCTTTATTTTAAGAGGACAACTTTATAAGAGAGATTATAATGTACTACGATGGAAGTAGGAGAAGATAAAAAATACCCATTATGAGGACATGCCAAAGAATAAAAATGTTGCAATAAATTGACCATATATAAATTTTAGGGATATTCTATAGTTTCTTGCAAGACTCATGTGCAGTGATCAGTTAATTTTAACCACACACTCATATTTTACAATATAATAAGAAGTTATTTTATAGTTACAAATTATATGAGTATTATGTGCATATTAAAAGTATCATTATGTATAAGAATATTTTCTACAATACTACTTGCCGAAGTACGCATGATGGGGTGACTATATATCCTAGAAGATGTGATTATATTCTACTAAATATTAACAAGAATGATTTCACTTATGTCCATACCTTTAGAAGGTAAAATTTTGAAAAAAGATCTTAATAATAAATAAAGAATATAAGTCTAAATTCTTAAAGGTATCGATTAAATTAACGCTTCAAACAAAGTTTAAGCAAATGATATTTTTAAGATTTTTTTTTTGCTAACAAGTAAATAAATATTTTATGAAAGACGATAGTGATGAGAAGGGATATATAACCAATGAAGTAAATTTCTCTATTACTACTTTAAAATTACCACAGAGAGGATGGTTAAACATCCACTCTCCTCCTATATTGGTGGGAAGAAGAGCCTTTTGGAGAAACACATAATAGAGCTAAACAAGTTTAATTAGTCAAAACACTTGTTGATCCTATCATTCTCTATAGGCTAAATGAGGTTGTGTTTTCTATTACCTCTATATTATGTCCCAAATCTCTTCCTCAACTCCATTAATATGAACGTTGATGAAATCTCCATTTATTTATTTTTTTCTTTTATGAAATAAAATTCAATGGCTTTAACCACTACTAAAACTAAGTACATAGTTGCAATTGTGGTACTCAAGTTCTCTAGGTAAGGCAATGATTGGAAGCTTATAGTATTAAAATAAAATAATCATATTTAATTGTGATAATTATGATGCTACAAGTTTAGTTAGAGAATGTGTTTATCACTCAGAGACTAAGTATACTGAGATTACATGTCACTTTATTAAATATCATATTTATAGGACTTATGTTAGCATTATTTGCATTGATTCATGAATCACTAATGATTTTACCAAATCATTTTTAAAAAAGTTTTTCTTCAATTTGAGGACAATACTTAGCATAATTAATCCACATAATCTTTTTTTAATGTTTCTTCTTACTTTTAATGATAGCTTTTGATGTTCCCAAAAGGGAAGAAATGTTATATGTTGGTTGTATGTTCTCCCATTTGCATACATTCAAGAGACCATCAATGATATCTTGTATGGGGATCATTACAGCAACATAAGCAAGCAAATGAACTTTTTCATCATAATTAAAAACCACTTGGTATTAATTTGATCAAAATCAAAACTTGCAAATCTAAAAGAAATATTTGGAAATAAATTATATTACAGAAATATGATCAACAAAGTGAGGAAAGTATATGCTTTGCATTTATGTAAGGAGATATTTTCCCTTAAAAGTTCTCCATCACAGTTATATTGATCTCCAAACAAAAAATAAAATATCATGAAGTGGTTTAATTTCTATCCTCCCACTACTAAAAATTATCATAAATTCATTTCCTATCAACAGACTACGACATGGATGCCAGCCTTATACTTGTATATGATGGCATGCTTCACAAAAGAGATTGCATGAATGATGGCATTACAAAATCTGTAAATGGTGCTCCATGATTTGAAAATATTCATACAATTAACCATTTACCTCACATCCCATTCCCCATCTCTCCAATCTTCAGGCCATTAAGGCACAATGAGCACCACCATTCCTTTGAAGCTCCATGCTATATATGAATATAAGCATGAAAGTTTCAGCATTTTCGAGCTCAGACCATAAAAAACCAATCAATGTTTCAGATTCCTCATGGATGTAACTCTAACTTGAGCTCGAGCTCGATGTTGAAGATTATCACTTTCATTACGCTGCAATTTAACCTCACTTCCGTGGTGATATCTCTCTTGTGCGCTCCAAGAATTTTGGAAGCACTTCTTTTGAAATTCATGATGATATTGATTTTGATATTGATTGCTTGCATGCACAGATTTCAAACTCAGATTATGAGATTCAGGGGGACAAGAGTCCTCACTCTGCACTGAGTCCGTTGAAGAGGAACGACTAATTTCATTCCCATGAGAAGACTGATTGCTGTACAGAGAACTTGAGCTTTGGTTGAATCCAAGCAAGCTTTGTAAATGCTTTGGGCTACTTGATCTGCTGCTCCCATGGTGGGAGCTTTTACTGAGACTTGAAGTTGAAGGAGTTGGTGGATCAATGGTGTTGATCAGTACTGGATGAGGAGGATGGTGCTGAATTTTTTCTTGAGGAATGGATATTTCAGAAAGAAGAGGACCATCGGTGAGGAAGCTGAGGGCTACCACAACATCTGCCATGAAAGGGCGAACAGAAGGTTCTTCTTGAAGGCACATGGCGGCTACGGCGATGGCTTGTTTGAGGCCGATTAGTGGAAATGCGTAGTTAAGAAGGGGGTCAACTATCTCTGGGAATCTCTTTTGATCCTTGAACATTGATTGTGCCTGTCATGAAGATATGAGTCAATATTTCTTAGTAAAATATCAGTTAAATAAATTATTGTTTGCAATGAACAAGTTGAGAAGAGAATGTAATGCAAGATAAATTACGATGAAGTAAATTGTAGAATTTTGTTATGTGACCTAGATTGACTATATTGAGCTAAATTGAGTTATTGAAGAGGATAAAAAGGTAGAGGCATTATTAGAATTTAAGGAAATTATTGTCAGAATAGTATCTCTTTGATTTTATTGCTTGGAGAAGGGTACAAAGAGTGTGTAAAAATGCTCAATATCTTAGACTATATATCTTGAATCCCGACCTTGACTCTCTATTTATAGGCTTGGATTGATTGGTTATATTAAAAAAATTAAATCCTAAGAATAAAGAAGATAAAAGTACATGAATAATAGCTGGACATAAAAAATATGGCTGCATGAATCTCAAAGAAGTTCAACGGGTCTTGCTTAATCGACTCCAAAAGATGATATCGGCATGATCAAAAGAGGGAGGCACCAAACATCACTTCATTTGGTCAAAATTTTAAGCTGACCAAATGGAAGCACAACCGAACGAATGAACAAGAGACATCTGATTCGAGGGACAACCATTTGTAATCAACTACCTCAACTGATTCTATAACTCTTTAGAAAGATAGCCAAAAGGTCACTCCATTGAATATTTGTCTAATTCTCTGTGAAGGCTCATTATCCAGGGGAGAGCTAGTCGTCAGATTACAATGATACATCCTCTGCCTGATGGTCTAAGTTCACCCCAACGATAAGAAGGGCCTCGAATGAGGATTCTCTCGAGAAAGCCATGTTAGCATTAAATTTTGATGTCACATGTGTAGGGTGTTCACTTTAATGGCTCGAGATGGTTCAATGCTCGCTCATAGTATCCCGTAGCTCGAGACACCCATTCGAGGCTTCCTAGCACGTGTTCATGGAACGAAACTAGGGTTTGTGATAATTCATCCTTACTCGGGAGAACCCATAGTTGGACAGACTCACTAAGGGCTTTGGACATCCTTGATGTCCTCTATGGTGTTTAGAGGTTCCTATGTATCCATTCGAAGCCTCCTTGGGGCAAAGAAAGTCTCAAAGCCCTCCTAAGTGTGCTACAGGAAAGTTAGGGTTTGGAATGCCCTTCCCGCGCCATAGCTCAAAGTGTTCATTAGTAATAGATTTTCCTATCACTGGATGAGCAAAATACTCATTTTTAAGGTTAGGGGATAATAATTTACTCGTATGTGGTCTCCCATAGCTTTCAGATTGAGAAAATCCTCCGTTAGGCACTCCCAATATAAATTAGGTTATACAGGGCTAGACCGGCGCTTAGGTGCCAACCCCGGGCACCTAGTCACCCAAAATGCCCTCTCAGATGGTCAAAACCAAGCTCTTGGAAGTCTGACTAGTTTCTGGCGCCTAAGTGCCAGACTGGACTCTAGTTTCGGGCTCACAAGCGCTCAAAATTGTTAAAAAAATGACATTTTTCCCGAGAGATGGGATAGCAGGCGCCAGGTTTGGCGCCTTGACTCCAGATCCCTGAAGTTATGGCGCCAAACTGGGCACCTAGGCGCCAGGGTCACGACGTCTAAACGCCAGTCCACTTCCAGGAAGCGATTTTTCACGATTTTGTCACCGATTTGACCCCAGTACACCCCTAATGAGCTAAAATGACAGGGATCTCCTTAGGCTTGTGGAGATATGCATGTGGGGATGTAATGACTCGAATTTAGCCTCATTCAACATGTTCTAAATGCCCTCCATTAGCCATTTTTGGCCTAATCAAAGGGTACTTTGAGGATTTTTCATGGAGAAGCTGGTTTAAGCTTCCTCTCTTCTCATTTCACCCATCTCCTCCTCATTTCAGCTTTGGGGGGCTGAAGCTTTGAGTGCTTGAGAGGGTAAGGGAAAACTTCATATTTTTTTCTCAAGGAGCAAGGGTTTTCTTGGAGCTTAGAGCTTAGAGCAAGGAAAAAGGAAGAAGACTTCATCTTCCTCAAGGAAAGAGTTAAGGAGTTGGCCCCCTTCTTCTCCTCGTTCCTTCATCTTCTTTCTCTTCTTCCATCACTTCATTTGAGTGTGTGAGGAGAATTTTGTGAGGAAGAACTTCGCTAGCAAAGAAGCAAGGTGCCTACTCTTCTACACTAAAGGAGAGCTTCATCTTAGCTCGAGGAAGGATCACCGGAGCTTTGTCGGAGCTCGGAACTTTGTTGGAGCTCGAAACTTTGCTAGAATCTAATCTTCTCTCATTTCGTTCGGAGAATTTCCTCTTAGGAGAAGAAATGCTTCGATCCGTGTAGGTGAAATTTCTCTCTACCTCCCTTGCTCCTTCCTTATTCCATACATGATTTGCGAGGTATGTTGTTGCGTGGCTCAGATACCGATTGTTTGGACAAGTCCAGAGAACTCGTCATCAACCATTACGGTAGTGAGATTCTTTAAAACCCTAGCATTTTCTTTCATTGCTAGCCTTAGGAGTAGATTTGTTAGGTGTTTGTGGGTTTGGTCACCCATACAAGGCAGGTCTGACCAGTCACCCAGTATTGCCTGACTCAATCGATCGCCCATTATCATACGGTCTGATTGGTCAAATGATTTCGGTCAGCCCGACCACACACCTTTTGATTGGCTAGTTTTGTGGTGTTTTCGTAGGTTCGATCACCCACACTAGGCAAGTTGGCCGACCAACTCTAGTCGGGACAACCATACACCTATTAATTGGTCGTTTATTTCCTAGAAGAAGCCCCATAGGCCCCATAGGTTAGGAGTTTTTGTGTTCCTCTTGCGATTCTCATGAGCAAAACCTACCCTTTTCTTTCTAGCACAAGGTCCTAATGCCTGTGGTGGTCATAACCCCAAGTTTGTGTCAGTGACTTCGTTCCCACTATGAAGGGGAGCGAAATCCATCATTTGGGCGTAAATAACAAAAAGTCCCATGACTTTTACGTTCCCTACGCCGCGAAGACCTTCCCATGGAATTTATTCAGGTCAAGCAAAAGGAGGCAACCACCATCGCTTTGTAGCGACGCTAACTTCGTTTCATCGATAACCCTTAGAGTGACTCGTGAGATCATTATGAAGAGTCGGCTTTGTAGCCAATGACGATCGGATCTCATTTTCATATGCATGTTGTTCTCATTTACATTGTGTTCCAATCATGCATGGATTTTTCAAAATATGCATAAAAATATCAATTTTTGTATGTTGTTCCGTTGGCTCGCCCGATCGGCCCCACCAACCCAATTAACACTATCAACAATCTTTTTTTCGACTCGTCTGATCGGTCGCACCAACTTGATCAGATCGATCGATGTTGATTCATCGGCCACATCGGCACGATCGACACGACCAACCATCTTTTGTCGACCCTCCCAATCGACTACATCGACCCTCCCAATCGACTACATCGACCCGATTGGATTGATGAATGTCTTCCATCGGCTCGCCCGATCAGCCCCACTGACCGTATCAGCACGACCGAGCATTATTTGACAGCTTGTCCGATCAGCAGCACTGTCACGATTGAATTGATCAATGTGTTCCACCAGCTCGTCCGATCGGCCCCATCAACCCGATCGACATGCCTAAATATATTTTGTTGGCTCATCCAATCAGCCACACCTGCTCGTTCGGCTCGACCGACTGTTTCTTTTGAGTGTTGCACTTCTTGCATGTTTGTTTTACATGACTTGCATTAGCATATTCACCAATTGCAACCTTGTTGTGCACTTGTGGGCATATGCCCTCGTATGCCAATATTGAGTACTTGTGCCTCCCATGGTCATGCTACTCCACATGTTTGCTTCATGACATCTCCATGTCAGGGTGCTCCACGATACTAGTGGCTGCACTTGCATTAGTGCACTCTCACATGTCTACTTTGCATTTCATTTGTCATGTCCATAGTCTTTACATGTTTAAATCTTGCTTGGGTCACTATTCTTGCACACCCACCTCGAACATCCACGTGTTTGTGTCGGGGACGACTTAAGTATCAAGTCTCCCCGGTGTGTAACTCTGTCCAACAAGAGTTACTTCACTTCTTTCCTATGGCATCACATTGGATTGTCATCGTAATTTCCTCAGGTCACTGTCTCCTCGGCACACCCACCCTCCGGGTCGCTGCCTCCTCGACACACCCACCCTTCGGGTCGCTGCCTTCACGACACACCCGCCCTCTGGATCACTTCCTCCACGACACACCCACTCTCGGATCACTGCCTCCACAACACACTTACCCTCCGAGTCACTGCCTCCATGACACACCCACCCCAATGAATCACTGCTTTCATGACACACCAATCTTTTAGGTCGATGCTCCATGACACACCCACCCCATTGGATCATCGCCTTCACGACACACCAATCTTTTAGGTCGATGCCTCCATCACACACCCACCCCTTCAAGTCACCGTCTCCTCAGCACACACACCCTCCGAGTCACCGCCTCCACGACATAATCATCTTCACTTGTGTTGTATGTTTTGCATGCACACTACCACACTGTCGGCATATTCATCACTAGTACATGCCACCGTATACTAGTGATGAATACTTGTTATCTCGTGATCGCTTCAACTTTTATGAGGCGGTCACTACGCATTGGACCATTTTTCATCTGCATGTGCACCCCGATCATCTCTATAACGAAGTTGGCTAGTTAGCTGAGTGCTCTCTGTTAGTCACGACGTGACAACTAGTATTACCCGTGAGGATGTCGCAGCAGATAATACCAGTTATCTCACCATGAAGAGCACGTGTATGTTATGCTAAGCTTCCAAGGGGTTTAATGAGTGCCCCACTTAGGTCTTTTTTTTCCTTAAGAATTGTTTGAAAGTATAAAAAATTACATTTTTATTACTTTATGCATCATGTTTTCAAGAATCTATTTTTTGAAACTATTTGCATCCCTACTTTAGACTGTACGTGAGTTTAAATTTTTCAAAAGCTTTTGCAAAACTTGCATATAGTGACACCTCTTAGAATTCTTGGATTCT